TACTGCTTCTTGTATAAGCTTGCTATTACTGGCAGAATTTAGTCTCTAGAATGGTTTTTTTTTAATCCTTTCACAGAAAATCTCTTTCAAAGTATTTTAACTACCTATTGATACAGCTGCCAGGAAATGACAGCTTGCCATCACTGCTGCTAACTAAAGATTAGGATAGGGGATATGGCATATTGATTCTTTGCTGTTTATTCTACTATGAAGAACAAAAATCATGAATGGCGTGAAGTGGGGGATTGATTCTTCAGTGTTTATCCTGATACAAGGAACAAACTGTCAGCAGCTGAAGTGGGCAGGAGCCAGGCTCAAAGTAAGCGAAAGGAGGTTCTCCAAATCACGTGTGGCTGAGAAGGGGAACACAGGACGCTTTGGGTGCCGAGAGCTTACCTGGGTTCAAGGGTGGGCAGGACAGGTTCACAGAAGAGAAATGTGTTAAGGGTTGCTAACTATATAGCAACCACTTCTGCCTCAGGAAGACTATGATCTGCAAATGCTGGAAGATGGGAGAGTTTTGGGGGGACATACATGAGTTTCCTCTGTTCTTTCAGCTGCTGTCAGAGACAGGATCCTGAGCAAGGTGGATCTTTGCTTTGACCTGATACAGCTTTCTTATGTTCTTGTTAGGCACATCCTTTTTTTAAATAGTAATCCTATCCCACTGCTTCCCACTTTGGCTTCTTTGTTATCTCACCCATCAGCTATTTCTTGTCTTTCTGACTGCCATTAAAGATGGAAATTCATTATATGTCCAGGTGGTACCTTGCACAGTTGGGGTCAGACTGGTATGATCATCAGGTGCTGTCACAATATAAACATTACTAAGAAATACTATAGAAACATGGGGGATTGTAGTAGTTTTTATTTTTGGTGGCCTACGGGTTTTGTTATAATTGTCATTTGGCTTCTGTTCCCCAAATCAAATTTGTTAACACTTTTTGTTAAGAATGCAATGGGTTTTCTGAAAATGCTCACAGCAATGCAGAGATCTTCTCTGTATAGAAAATTCTGAAGCATTTCCCACTGCCACATAGTAGGCACCTTCGATAGTTGTGGAATCATGGTAGCTTTTACTAAGAAGTTCTTGATCTGTTTTTTCCCCCCTCTTTATATGAATGAAAATAATTGAATATCTTGATACATTGGGCTTTGTTTACTGACATGTAAAAGCAAACAAGCCCCAGTTGACCCAAGAGTGCTTTTGTCCGTGATAGGCTGGGGCTTGGACTAATGAAATTTTCAAGCAGAATCATCCTTGCAGGTTTACTGGGAAATTGGGGTGTAACTGGCTGACCTTTGGTGGCTAAATGCTCACAACCACTATCTATGCAGCACCATGGTATTTGAACAAGTCAGTGAAAACTACTAGCCCAGGTTGCTAGCTGTAAAACAACAGTGCTGTAGCAAGACTGTAAAACTGTCCAGAGAGAAACATAGTACAAGGTAGCCTGAAAACACTGGAATTTGAACTGGAAAACACTGGAATTGAGAACCCACCACGAGCAAGGTGATTGCATTGTTTAACTCTGACAACGGATTTGTAGTGCAACTCTTAAAGTGGGAAAGTTTTGTCTAAATGGAATTCCTGTTGTAAATTTGATTAGGAAAAAATTAATCTCAGGATGCTAACTACTGATGAAGAATGGACTTTTTTTTTTCAGGACACTTGTGGTTTTGAGAACATCCCTATCTAAAAGACATTCTTCAAAAGAAAATACGCAGAAGATGGTAATTAGCACTGTATTTTTTCTATACTTGCATGAGCTGAGATACAAGCCTTTGGAAGCAAGTGTTTTGTTAGAAAAAATCATGGGTGAAAAAGGTTTCTATATGGATGCCTAGAGAAAAAAGAATTTGGGAAAGTATACATTCTTGTACAAATAAGGGCTGTGTCCTAGTACCCAGAAGTAACTATGGGATTTAAAAATCCTTCTCCATAGACCTGCATACCAGCTTGACAGACAGATTGTTTGGATTTCAAACACTCAGACTAGCAAAAATGTCCAAAAAGAGAAAATCAATGGAATTTCAGATTTGGATAATCCCGTTAACTAACCTGTTTTCCCAGCTGGGTAAATTTTAGGTTGATTTAGGGAAAGAATAACAAAGTCCTTTCTCACTACACCTTCCGAAATACTTAGAGAAGCTCACATCCATGCGTCTCCCAATCTTCCTCAGAGGAGATGGAGTACGCAGGGTGCGTGACCCACAGGCACCAGAAGTTCGTTGATGCAGGGAACATACTCCATTCCTTTAATGTAAAGCGTTCGTTTAATTAACTTGCATACGTGACTGTATTTTGCAACCAGTTATTTTCAGTAATAAAGTGAAAGGCTCCGTTTGTGTAGAACACAGGTACAGTTGAAACTAAAGCGTGCCTTCTCATTTGAAGTAGGAGGCACCTACAGTACAGCTGCCAAGAGAGAAAGTTTGCCTCGGGGCCCTTCTTTTAAAAGGTTCAGGAGGGGCTGACTCATTACAATCCCAGACAGTATATAGAGGAATATATCACATTCCCTCTGTCCTAAGTCCCCTGGAACCGCTACTAGCTCCAGCTTTGGATGGGTGTGCTGGAAGTTTCTTGCCTTATTGAACTCAGTGCAGCCCTTAGTTTGTGCACACAGGGCGCTCAGCTTCTGCACGATACACTGAACTTGTAAGATGAGTGAGAGCGCTTAGAAGGAAGTGACAGCATCCTTCTGTTATCCTTAGCACTACTGCAGGTTTCTGAACTGGTCTCATATCTTCTCCTTGTGGCCAGGGTAATGGCTCGGTGTGAAGGCATCTCCAGGGGATTTTTGCCTCCCAGCTGCCTCTTCTAATATGTGAGGATGGCTCAGTTTCTGTGCTCACCACAACTGCTTCCTCCCAGGTAAATTATATATTAAAACCATGTTCATAGATTATTCCACAGTGTGGCAAGTCTATGGTTAGTGTGGGTTGCTGGGATTTTTTGTTTGTTTTTGTATTAGAAAACCGTATGGGATCTTAAGCAGCATGTCTTTCAGCCTTGCTTTCAGAGCGCCCTTTCTTCCCTCTTAACTCTGCTATTAAAAATTCACTTTGGGCTGATGCTTGGCACTTGAAAGCTCAGCCTGAGGATTTACTTTTCTATATGTGGTTTTCAGAAAATTGGCGATCAAAAAGAGGTGTGAACCTCAGAGGCTGTGAACCTTTGTCATATTTTTTTCTGAAGCAAAATGCAGGCAATTGTGCTGCCTGTGTGCTTAGGGGCTGGTGGTGGTGAAGGAGGTATGTAGCCATGCCTATGTGCCTGTTAGCCCTGCCTTACTAAATTTTGAACTGATTGTTCAGGTTCAGGTAATTTCTCAGGAAGATACAGGCAAAGACCCTGAAAATACTGACTTTCTACAAATGTCATGAAAATAGGTGGCCAGCCAGAGGAGGCAGATGCTACAAATGCCCACCCTGCTCCGAGGTGTGCTCACTGCTGGTTAGACATCAGTGAGCCCATGCAGATGTGCCTCCCCAGGGCGTAAATCCATAGGAGACTGGACATAGTTGACTCTGCTGCTTATGGAGCTGCTTGTTTTTAATATGTGCTTTTTGGGAAGTCTGTAAGAGAACTGTGATGTCTTTCTTTCCCTTCTGTGAATAGACTGAAAGATCAGGCAGCAGCATTTTGTATCTGGTCCTTTTTAGTAGAGATAGTTATCAGTCATATGCAACCGTGATGCTCGTACTGGTATTTACATGACACCCCTAAAACATCTTTCTGAGCCCTTAAACAGATTTGTTGTAGCAGTAATATCTATCTAGCTAGAGTATTTGTGGTTGCATCCGGTTGTATCCATTGGGTTTCAGCCCCCTGGTCATTTGAGAGGACTGAGCAAGAGTAAGCCATCAATGTTTGGAAGTATTTTACTTCTCTTTGTGGAAGAAGGGTTCGGGTTAGCAGAAAATAAGTCAAATTCTTTTTGGGGAGTGATACAAATTTTGAATAAAAAAAGATTGCTTGCAGACTTTGTAAACTCATCTTGCACATTTCTCAGTGCTGTTGACGTTAATTGGGAAAAGCAAATCTGTAGCTTTTATCAACCCAGTGGGTCTTCAGTTTCACCATCATGTTTCTATAAGAAGAGAAATACTGAAAGCAACCAATAAATATCTGCTTAAAATAGCGAACTGGACGTTGTTGATAGCAGAGGTAGGGGTCGCAGCCTGGACCTGTGGTTACAACGGTTTCCCCCGCGGTGAATGCGGGGTGTCCCAAAGCTGCCGTGAAACGCGTGAGGCAAGGGGCGTCTTCACTGCCCGGGGGAGCTCCGAGCTCGCTGCCTGCCTGTGGGGATCGTCAGGGGTCCCGCAGGCTTATGCCTGAGCTGAGCCTTATCTCCGGCTTAACGGCCCCAGCCCGGGGGCACTAGGGGAAAGCCCGGGAAGGTAAGGGGGTGGCTTTCCTCGGGGATGGACGGGGGGTGCAGTGAGGGGCCGGGGCTGGTGCC